GCTCATGTTCAGTCACCAAATGTTATCAGCCAACAGCACGACGCGCCACAATGCGCTCGCTGCAAATCATCATGACTATACAGGCAGCCTTCTCAGTGCTTGTCCATGGCCAAGACGAGCAGCCCTTGATCCAAATGACCTGGCCTGACGCAAACGAAAGTTTTTACAGCGTCATCAATGGAAGGAACGTGACACACAATGGCGGACACGATGACTGGGGCTTGAGCTCGAGAAACTTCCAGTGCTCAGATGTTAACCTTCCTTCCGACGCAAAACGAACCTTGCTTTCGATTGATGGGTTTCATATTCAGTTATCGCAGATGTGGGATTCCAAGACCGTCTCGAGTTCATTCGAAATTGGGAGATGGATGATAGACTGGTCGTTCGGTCAATTTGAAGGACTTGATGGTGCCAATGCGACTGCTTTCGCCTGGTCCAGCGGCCTCTATTACGACGGCTTGTCTGACTTGGGAGTTACATGTGGTGACAGGCATTTGGCGCCAGACTCTTACGGGATTCCCAATTGGGAAGAAGAGGGCATTATCGACATATTCCAGGTCAAACCGGAGCAATGGAACGGAGTTAACGCGACACTGGGCATAAGCTTTCAACAAAAGCTGCCAGGTTCCCAGACTGAGTTGCCGTCACAAACTTTCATACAGGTGAGTCTCAGCCCCTGCCCTGCAGAATGCCAACACTTTCACGGCTAATATTTGATTACGAAGCAACAGTGCGCCTACATCCAGTTCACAACGGCCCCAGTTCCTGCATCGCCTTGTCAGGCGGCCACACCAACAACCAAGACTACATCAAGCGAGACGCCAGAACCGACTCGAGCAACTCGAACTGGCTTTCCCTGGGACAGAGAGACGTCACCCACAAGCACAAGGGCTAGTAATGAAAACGCCGAGGACGATGGTGACGGTGAAGGTGACGGAGGTCCTAGCGCTAAGAGTCTTGGCTTGGCGATCGGCCTGTCAGTGGGCATACTGGCCCTTGTAGGCTTGATTTCCTATTGCTGGCCTCGCCTTCCAGTGAAATACACCTCTCGAGTTCCTGGAACAAGCGGCTGGGTGAAATATCAACGCGAGACTACACCGGGGGAGTCACCAGAAATGAATGGACAAGGGGCCACATTGCAAGCACCAGCCACCTTTAGAACATCCAACACTAGAAGAAGCAGCCCGCCCCGAGTGGTATCGCCAGCAGGCTATTACCAATCCCGGCAAAGGCTCTCTTCCGATGTCGATGTTGAGGCGGGGTCGCCTCATCGACAGCAACAACCTTTGCCTGAGAGCGAGATTATCATGATCCAAGCAGCTATCGCCGATTCAAATGAACCGAATAAGGCCACCATCGACGAACCTCTTCCTGCGTATCCAGGACCACCTCCGGAATACGAGAGATAGATCGTGCGCTCACCGTGGGAAAGTGCGTCTCGCTTGAATCGGTATGTATAAATGTGTATTGGTAGGAACCTCATTTGGAGCTGTACACGTGAAGAACGACAGGGAATACTTGGGTTAGACATGTACCATGAGCAGGTAATGAGAACCGCACATCGTTACAAAATCTTCATGCTTCCCTTGTTTAGTGACCGTTGTAATTGCGAATGTCCAATCGCGAATGTCCACTCAAAAGGTTTGCGCATCGCTAGCAATTGGCTGCAAACTCCCCTTTCCCTTGAAGTTTTCCAGAATGTCTGCCTGCTCCGACAGCATGAACCGGTCAGTCTGCGAGCCAATCTTCGCAAGTTCCCTCCATCGATCGAACGCGTTCGGGTCTCTCTTGTCGCCGTGGGCCTCCTGTGGGTGCTCCCAGTGACCCTTCGAGAACCCAATCAGGGTTGTGACTTTCTGGTTGGGAATGTCGTAGACGAGAGAGCAGATGGTGCCCGTCTCCTCGAGCCAGTTCACCTGCCAGATTTCACCCGGTCGTACACACTGGTACGTAGCTGTCTGGTAGTTGATGCGGCCAGCCATAGGCCCACCGTGAATGGCGTAAACTATGCGGTCGTGGGAGAAGAACCACATCTCATAACGCCATTTCTCAGGCTTTCCATCTTTATCTTGGGGCAGCATAATCGTATATGAGGTGGGTATCCTTGATATCCTGATCAAAGGATGGGTCAAGCTTGGTGTTGGTGAGGAAGCGAGGAAGAGACTGGTTGGATTGAGACATGTTGAGTGGTGACCGTTGTGCTGCTGCAAGATGAGAATGAGCAGGGAAAAACTGGGAGATGTCGATGGCCAGCCGCCTGGTATGTGTATGTTTGGCGCAACCCGTCTATGAGGTCATGATCGCTAGAGCCGCATCGAGGTCCAGTTCGGCTTCCGGTTCCAGCCACAAAGTCAATCGCACACTAAGGAGAAGCTTGCCGGATTTGCTAGGAGGCAGGACTTAGATGTTGGCAAATCTCGTACAAGGCATTTTTGGATCGCGAGAATGCCAGAATATTTCCCCAGAGGCAGGAGGACGCAAGGAGGCCTCGATGCGAAGAGTATCATGGAAGCGTCCCATCCATTTGTTGCGTTGGTCAGGGAATGAAATCAGTGTGTTTCTCAGTGGGCCTGGCCGAGACAGTGACAGTCATGATGCTCCGCTCCATATGGTATCAACGTCAGAATTATTTTGACAATCAGAGAAACTGCGAGAGTACACTCTCTTCACTATTGATCAACAATATTGAATTCAACAGGCGGTAATCTGAACAGATGGCAACAATGTGTTGCCCCAAGACCAGGTACGCCATGGCCGTCCGGCAAGGAGCTGCCGGATATCGGCCTATCGGCATTAGTGGATCGCGTCTGTCCCACTCTGCATCCGATGTATGCAAAAGCTGCGCTGGGCGATCGACCGCCGACCGCAACTGGTTGGACTGAGCGCCTCGCAGCCTTTTTCTGATACATCCCAGTGAGAGGCCCAGCGGGTTTGTCCCGGCTGCAAGCACCTCATGAAGTTGCGCGTTGCGGGCTCTCTCGCGTCGTAGTAAATTATTGAAAGGCCTAGGCCCAGAGTGCCCATGACCAAAATGCAAAGCTCCCAAACGACGTGACTGTGCACCCGGCGGGGCCAACGATACTCGGAGCATTCCTGTAGCTCTTGTCAGGGAGCCAAACGCGGGGCACAACCCAGCTCTAGCTGCCCCAGCCACGGCTCCCGACATGGCACGATGGTCATGCCTCAAGAGACGGGGTTTTGCAAAAAGTGAGAATAGACCTGACGTATCACTGAACCTGGAGTCGGGTGTGTCCGTGCTAGCGAGTTCGACCAATTCGCAAGTACGCCAGAAGAGATGTACTCGCGAGCTAAACAAGCTCTAGTTCAGGTACCTGTGCCAGACTCAGTGACCCATCCGTGACAGCATGGAGAAAGCAGCCAACAAGCGGCGTCGAGTGACAAAACGATGGGTAGTGCGGGGCTGGCGATAATCTGGATGCGTGAA